GGGGAGAGAGCTGCAACAATGAGTGAATGGAAGTCCAAAATCTCTGTAGACATTCATTGAAATTAATTTAAAAAAAGATAAGACAAAAGGTAAAAATAAAACAATTAGCTTGGGAGACTCGGTGAAGGGCAGCAGGCCACAGTAGGGAGCAGTGAGCCTCGGGGAGTAGCAGCGAGCCTTGGTGGGGCGCAGCAAGCTGCGACAGGACGAAGCCATAGGGAACAAGCAGGACTGTAGGAATTTGAGTGAGGTTCTTGAGGAGGATCACTGCTGATTGCTGAACCACATGGGACCTCTTCATCTAAAGCAAGAGTAAGACAACTGGAGTTTGACTGAGGTGACAGACCCAGTTCTCGAGAAGAAAACCAAGGCTTTCTGGTTTTCCATTCAAGTCCCAAGGCATGATCCCTTGCTCTCAACATGCATGTATCTATGTGTGTGGGCCCCTCGCCCACTCCCATATGTGTCTATGTGAGTACCCACCCTACATGGATCCATGCACATGCCCCTGCCCACGCCCCTTCTGGAGCAGTAATTTCAGATCAAGAACCGACAATCACCTTAAGCATTAAAAATTCTACCACAGCAATATCACAAAAGAAGCAGGCTGCTCACACCCTACACAAGCCCAAAGTAAGATATCAGGACCAAAAAGTGATACACTGTCAATGGATTTCTTGAAGCCAGAAAGTCTGATGGAACTGTCTGACACAGAATTTAAAAGAACAATGATTGTATTCCCAATGAGTGAGAGACAAACATGAAGAATTACAGGACACTGCAAGCAAAAACCAGGAGAAGCTTAAAAAAAAATCCAAAACAATGTAGATAAAACAAACAAGGCATTAGAGGTTCTGGAAAAACAAGACAGCACAATCCAAAATATGAGGTCCAATGTTTCAGATGCTATCAACTTGATGGAGGGATATATGAACAGAGTTGAAGAGATGGAACACAGGACCAGTGAAATAGAAGATAGAACTGCTACCATTGAACTGCTAGAACAAAAAGCAGAATCAATAAGGAAAAGGAAGAAAATCTAAGAATAATGTGGGACATTATCAAGAGAAATAACATGTGAATCATCAGAATCCCAGAACAGGAAGAAAGAATTAAAGACACCAAAAAAGTTATGATTATCGTAAGAGTTTGGAATGAGGGTTGCAGAGTGGAGTATACTCAGAGTGGGGGTGGGGAGGTATTGTATATCAATGAAGGAGTTTTCTTTTGCTTTTCAAGGAGAAGAGCGAACTGGGGTGGGGGTGAGGTTGTGGTTGTTGTTGTTATGTGCCGTCGAGT